CATGTTTAAAATTACTGAACATTGTTAGATGTATTCTAGCTTGAATCAGGATGAATAATTTTAGTATAATATTGGTCTAAACATTCGGCGAGTTTAACAGGTTCAATAAACTTAGCAACATCTTAGTCAGTTACTTATACAACAACCTAAAAACATTCTAACAGATAGAGATGCAAACCTACAACTTATTTAGAATAGATCAAGTTTAAAAAAGTAAAGAAATTGTGGAATGTTTGAAACGGTATAATTACACATACGTAAAATTAAATAAGTTAATTAAACGCATAGTTTTTATCCGAATAAAAATACTTATCATAACGATTTACTTACTCAACTAAATTGATTAATCCAGTACTACAAGACCAATGCAATAAAGGCATTCCTGCAGATCTCCATGAATGATATTCTAATCCATGTGCAACTAATGCTTTAATAACATTTTCATCACCACCACCACGCATAGCAAAATGTAATAAAGTAGTTCCAAATTGATCAGTATGATTAACATTACCACCATGTTTTGCAAATGTACCAACAGCTTCACTATCCGATCGCATACATGCACTTTGTAATGATGCAGTTAATATATCAGTTGGAACTTTATGTTTACTTAAATATTTATCTAATCCTTGATAATCTTTTACTTGAATAAATGCATTAATAACTCGTGCTGGACTACCTCCACTTGAAACAGCACTAGCAATTTTTGCTGCTACTATACGTTTTCCTTCAGATGTAGTCAGATTACTTTCTGTAATCGACATTATTCTTTTTTTTTTACAAAAAAATTAGTTTATCTTCAAAACTTCATAAAAAAATGTGTATTTAATTTGTAAACAAGAATTCGTTTAATAACTTTGATAATGAGGAAAGTTGTTACGTTGAGATGGGTTGAAATTACAGTCATAAGTAAACTGTATTTATTGCATTATTGTAAAGTAGTCATAGGCGCTATGAATCATATTTATACAGATATAAGCTACAAAAAAAATGTAAATAAATTAGCTATTTGATTACTGGTTCTTTTTTTTCGTACTACATGTCTGTTAATGTTGTTATGATTACTGTTGTGTGTTTTACACTTTCATCTCCTATAGGCTTATTTACATATATATGTACATTGGAATAGTTAGAGAGAAAAAAAACAATAACAAACTACATTCGACCTGATGTGTCTTGCTTTCACTCAGATAATATGTATATATAAATTCACAATGACATAGATTATTTTCTCCCTATTTATCCCTTGACTACTGACAAAATGATATTGTACTATTTAGTACAATATTCAGTAGACATATGAGATTACAGTGTAAATGTAAAATATTCATACGATGTATGATTATGATTACTATTATTATTTTTATTATTATTATGTAATGATACTTCATGTAGGTTTTTAATAAAACAACAACAGCAATTATGAAATGATGAACATTACCATTTCGCTGTTCTAATTAAATTATTAAAAAAAATAAAGTAAATAAGGATATATATTGATTGACCTATTAACTAATTTCATAGTAACTAAAATTCAGTTGAGTTTATTGAGAATGACAAAACTGTGAACGATAAAACTAACAGAACTAGATCATGGCCCATTGTACATCGGAAGTTCTAAGTTACAAAACTGTCGTTCGTTTGAACATACACTGTCGGAACGGTGATATTCATAATGTTTAAAAATAAAAATTCTAATCTATTTCATCATGTCATAACTCATCTTTTAAATACTTAAATGAATCAATGTCAAAAGATAATAAGTAGTAAATAAACTTGCTAATCAGTCTGAATATACTTACATGCAAATATTCATTATTAAAAATAATGCGAAGTCATACCAGTTTAGACTAAATACTTACTTACTTTCGTTTCAATTAAGAATAGTTTTTTTCATTGTTTTATTTGGACTTATCTCAGTTCTGAATCTTTTGCAGACTAAGCTTTTAATTTGGTACTATTTAATGGTGACTGACAGCTGGGTAGTAAAAATAAAGTAATTTCACATTCAAAGGTGGATGTTTTCGTTATATTCTATTTTTGATAGTACTTAATGGTAACTAGTTAAGTCATAAAGTAATTGGATTTTGTTGTATTTAACTCACTTTAATATCAGAAGGGATTTTTGTGGATATTATAGCAATTTTAATAGTTGAGATCATGAGTCAGTTAAAGCTAAACCCCCATGGAAAACCTGAAATCACTGGACGGTCGCTTCGTCCCATTGTGGGACTCTTCAGCAGTGCGCGCCAACGATCCCACCTCTCGAGATTCGGACCCAGGACCTGTCACTTTCGCGCTCGAGCGCTTAACCTGTAGATCACTAAGCCGGCTCACTAGTGACTGGCTTCAAGTGCTCTGGTAGGACTGGTAGGTCCTTGGTTCGAATCTCGAGGGGTGGGATCGTGGATGCGCACTACTAAAGAGTCCCACAATAGAATGAAACAGCCGTCCAGTGCTTCCAGGTTTTCCACGGTGGTCTAGCTTCAACTGACTCATGAATTCAACTATAGAAAAATATTACTAAAATCTCCACAAAACCCTTTCTGCTGACATTTAATTGTTCAATGGTTTGAAATAAATCATAATTCAGTACGAACATCACTTAATAAATATGTAAAATTATTGATAATACATGAAATACTTTTCATTCAATACGTTTGTAAATTTTAATAACTTCCGGTAACTCACAATAATCTAGAACATTTAACCAAGCCTGACTATTAAAATAATGGATTAGTTTAAAAGAGCAAATAAATCCGTATTAAAATTATCTTAAACTCAGTTGCAGTCATTGTTGTTGTTACTTGTTTCAAAATAGTTTCTTTATATGATGTCAAAGCTTCAATTTTAGCTTATTTCTTGAACTGTCAATGAGAGTTCCTTATTATTTTGGTTCTATTAAGTCATATTGTCTACAAGGTCAATTAGTAAGTTAAAAAGTAGGACCAAGCACATACATCCATCTGTCCAAGTTGCCATACCTCATTAGCACAACAAAATGAATACCAAATTCATAGAAGTAGTTACTTCAATGGTACTAATATATAAAAGAAAGATGTCATATAAGGATATGATACAGGAATAAAGAATTAGTTCGTAGAAAGAAACATATAAAGCAATTTTAATCTCCAAGGTAAAGAAAAAACGAAGAGCGTATACACCTAATCCATTGTGACCGATTCCGAAACATGTCATCAGGAGTCTCCAACCATTGGTTACGACAGTCACACGGACCCCAACCAAGCAGTCTACATATACCAACATAACTCAGACTAGAAGTTAGTGACTTCAAGAACTGATACCACGTTTCTATTTGGCCACCTCCATCTTTCTTCCAACTATCTGCAACACTAGTCAGCTTTGCGCGTCTTAATAATCGGTGTATAAGCATACGTAATATGTCTTGAAGGGTTCGATGATGTCAAATGAAAGAAGATGAAACAATGCTGTAGTATTCCTTTCGACTACAAACCATAAAATAATTGTATTTTCAAGTCGTTTTTTATTTCATTAGCATATGACACATGAAAGATGCTCTTTTTAGCTAGCTGAAAAAGAAATTGTAAATCAAATTATATGTGTGGCGCATACATATTTGGTGCCTCCTTGTACCAATGTTTATGTGTTTAAATAAATAAAAAATAAACAGTAAGAAAACACAAAGTATTGCTACATAAAGTAACTTTCTCTCTCAATCTTGAAAAGTTTCTTCATCAATAACTAAGTTTTAATTGAATAAATTAAATTTTACAAAACCAAAGAAAAGATTATATTTCGTCAAATAAACTGTTCACTCGAATGTTATACTCCTTCATTAATAAGACCGTTATTACCAGTTCTTGGAATAAACCAATTCCTAGTTCGTAATGCTCATCATCATTTCTGTTTACTTGCTCCTGACTTTGTCTACCACTACTTACCATTATTTCTTTAACATAACTTTGAACATTGATCGTTTGATTAGACATGGTTGATGATCTAACCTTGTAAAACAACATAATACTCATATGATATTTCAATTAAAAATACTTGCTGAAACTTTCGATGCATGTACTTGGAGTTAAATCAAATAACTGCCTCATTCCTGTTAATTGATCCTAGCCTGATTTTGAGATATCAACACAGAATTTATCACGTAGATTATTACTGACAACCAATTTATATTATCTTACTTTACTTACTTACTTACGCCTGTCACCCCTCGTGGAGAAGCATAGGTCGCCCACCAGCATTCTCCACCCAACTCTGTCCTGGGCAATCTTTTCCAGTTCTTTCCAGTTGTTATTCATCTTTTTCATATCTGCTTATTCCTTCAACTCCCAGGGCAGAGTTTAAATGGTCTGAACTATTTTTTCTGGTTAGCGTTCTTTTAGCGAGTTAGTTTTTCTACAGGATGGGTTCGCTAACCCCATGCCCAACCCTCCTCCTGTACTCGGGCTTGGGACCAGCAGTAACTCTAAAAGAGCTGCAGGCGGAGTTAATTTATATTATCTAAATAAATATTATATGCACTCTTTCACAAAGTCCCCAATAAAGGAGAACAAATCGAACTTTTGACATAAACAAAATAAAAATTATTAGTTCCCTGAGCCTTACATTAAATTAGTAAACGTTCTCAATTGATACTGATTAAAAAATCGTTGTTAAATGTGCTTTTACACAGTTAATGGTGACTAAATCATTGACATTAAGTTTTCATATGATATATATATAATCATGAAAAACTAATCAGACTTCTGTTATATTTAGCCCCTGAATGCAATAGAACTACTTTTAAAACTATATAAAGCATGTGCCACGAACTAACTAACATAAGTCTGTTGAATAAATCCACAAAAATATAATATTTTAATTCGGTTACAAGATTCTTCCCACTATTCTTAAACTTAAGTACATATGAAAAACTCGTTGATATCATTCAATTTAATAACATCTATGGTATAGAAAATCTTAATTTGGATGGTAAAAGAAAAAACACCAACTTAGAAGTTTCACACTGATTCGCAAGTTTTATATTAATATCCATTTAAATTTTTCCCTTACATGTTATTTTAATAATGTACATGCACAATAATACATATAATACAGTTCTAATATAATCTAGTTCTATCAAGCTATATAAAATTGTAGACAGGAAAATTATTGATTTCTTATCCTGTCATAAATATTTTACAGATCAGCAATTGGTGATTTTTTTTTCTTAGTACAAAATAGAATTCCATTTTTGAAAATGACACTGATTACAACTATCAGTTCATAATTATAGAATAACTGGTATTGTCTTGAATGCCTAGTCTAAATATATTTCAATAGAAGTCATCAATCAAATTGTATTAAAATTATACAGATATAGAATAGATAGTTTTTTAATAATAAACGCAAATAAGGTTCATCATTCACAAATGTTTAAAACGGTCTTTCATTTCATCCTTTTGACTAATTTTTTCTTCTAAAATAAGGAAATACTTTTTTTCCATGTTAAATGAAAGTTAACAGTATATAAAAAACTTTCGTTTAAATTCGATCGAATAGTTTCATAATATTGGGGCGCCTAGTTGATGATGTAAGACATTTAAGAAGAAGAATGTATTTGTCAAACCTCAGTGAATAAATTTAAAGTAAATTCATCATATCCAACAGTATAAGAAAGTACTATAGTGAAATATTCAAAGAGTTTAGTTCTATTCAAGGTTTATTGATTTCGAATGTTGAATAAATTCATGTTGGAAGTTTTAAAACTTTAAAATGTTAAGCACTCGTAGAAAGTTAAGGAAACTAGAATGTAGCATGATAAAATTGTTCAACCAACAATGATTTAATCATAGTCAACTATTGATGTTCACCTGTTATGAAGTAAAGTTCAGTGTTCAATGTTTTAAGCTTATTTGTTAACTTTAATATTGAATTTCTGTGTTCCTTGTACAATGTTTTTTCATTGCATTTAGAAAAAAATGAAATCCATTTATTTTTATTACTTAGTTATGAATTATTGATTTATCATAAAACATACTTTGATGATAATTGTACTACAAGTCAATGAAGAAGTTGTTCAATTCCAAAGATTCTTTTTGATTTTCAATACAATAAAGAAAAACTATTGAAAAAGAATAATTCTTCAGACTAGAAGTTATTACGGTACATAGTTTCCCTCATTTGTTCATCTAGACTCACGATTGTAGTAATTAGTCTCTATATGAGATTCTAATAAACTTCATGGATGGCAATCATTTGTAACATAACCGAATATATTGTGTTTCTTTTATTGGAGGACAGTGAAATAAACTTTGTAATTAAAAAGGCCTGACAATATTAAAAAAAGTATGTTTTCATTACTACACAAATAGATTTATGCGCATGATTAATAATAATTTTATTAATATTACTGTAATAGAAAGAATTAAAGTTTTGTTTTCATGCATTTAAATTTTCTATTCTCTTTAGTAGATTCTTTGCATTATCTATAAGACTCTATCATGAAATAATAAGCAAAAAAAGGAAAACTATAAGTCAATATAAAATAAATTCAATTTGTTAACAAAACTACTTAAATAAACTATTACAAATAATAAAACTACAAATTATCGTGGATGCGCACTACTGAGGAGTCCCACGATAGGACGAAATGACCGTCCAGTGTTTACAGGTTTTCTACGGTGGTCTAGTTTCCATTGACTCATGATTTCAACTATATATACAAATTATTACACAAATAAAACTATAAAGCACACACACATTGAAATCAGGAAATTTCATTTTAAAAATAAAATAACAGAAATTCAGTATACAGATTAATCTTTTACACAATTTGTTTAAATTCATCTAACAATAATAAAGGTTAAAGGTTATTTTAAATATTTTAATAAGTAATGTTTTACAAAAAAAGGATAAAGGACTCAGTAGCTGAGTGGATAACGTGATAGTGCTTGAAGGGAAAGGTACTGCGTTCGAGTCCCAGGGTGAACATCGGCGATGAGATGCAGGTACACCAAGCTGACGAATCAAAAATGGGACGAAACACTCGTCAAACTGGATTCCACTGCTAGCCACTATCCATCTTTGCTTATAAAATATTAGTTGTTTAACTTTAAATTATTTCAATGTACGCTACAGAACTAGATTTTCCAATTATATAATCAGAAAATAAATGATGATAGTCCACATCATCTGTGAACAGCTCACTTCAAAAGAATCGAAAACGTTATCTTAAACATATTTCTAGACTCATATTAAGTATTTATGTAGGTGTTTTATTTTGTGATTTGGATAGTTTGAGAGTAGTTTCTATGACATATCAACACAATGACTATCTTAAATCAGTTTACAAATGTTTTCTTTTATTTACTAACTCCACAGTAGAATGGATCTATGTTTCAACAAAGAACCTTCAGATTGTGATTCAGTTTACTATTTTCACTTCACGACGAATTTATATTTGAAATGAGTTTTCACATATCTTCATATAATTTGCACTGTCAATCTTTGATATACTTTCATAGGGTCATTTAAATTGGTCCCCCACTTTCTATCTTTCTTTCATGAAAACGATTTTTTTAAATTTCATTTTTTGATAAAAAAAACCCACCCAGAACCATAAATGATGAAGGAAATATAAGTTAACTGTTTACTTGTTTTGTTATATAATCCATTACATAAAATCCAAGCTATAAAAATGTGATTTAGTTATTTTCATCATGATTCTTTTTCCTCTATACACTATCATTATCGATCTGAAAAATGATGCGACAAAGTAATGGAAGAAAATATGAGATTAAAGCAGCTGTTTGTCTACTTTCTGAGTATGTCATATGATTAAACAGCTGTTACTTCAATGGAAACTCCCATTGATACATCAAACTATTCGAATTCATTATAACACTGTATGATTAAATAATTTTTTTTTAATTGTTGAAAATCAACTTATTTATATCTGTAGGCGATATAAACTGATGCAATACAAGGTAATCTATTTTTAATTTTATATAACTCATAAAGAATAAAACAAACAATACCAAATTGAGTAAAATTATTCAACTAATCAACATTCACTGGCCAGAGCAACAGCCTTTTATAGGAGAGGACAAACCAGCTTCCAGATGAAGAAGAAATTAGGAAAAGACGTTGGAAGTGGATCGGACATACAATTAGGAAATCACTAAATCATCATCCCTAATTTGGAATCCGGAAGGGAAGCAAAAAAATAGGAAGGACAAAGAACACATTATGAAGCAAACATGAAAAAAATGAATAACAACTGGAAAGGATTGCTCAGGATAGGGTTGCATGCAGAATACTGGTGAGCGGACTATGCTGCTCGACGAGGGGTAACAGGCGTAAGTAAGTATTCATTTAACACTGTCTAAAAGCGATTGATTGACAATTAATAACCGATACTGAATGACAATGTAAAGTGTAGTTTTACCATTAATCGAATACATTAAATTTTAATACCAATCATATATGACCAGAAATTGAACTTTCTTTCCTATTATTTTGATAATGCTGTTCTTATTCTAGTAATTATACAATATTTATAAAAGCTATTGTATCACTCATTTGCAGAAAGGTTACCTGAAAACATCAATAATAAACTCGTGTAATAGATACCATAAAATAAATACGAAAAGATTAAAAGGCAATGTTGATTATTTTTGTTTCAGTAATAACTTTCTAATTCTGTTATTTATTACTGGTTTTCATCAGTTATAATCTAATTGATTTATTTTCGAATAATAATAATGTTGAACAATGACTGAAACGTTGGTATACTCTCAGTTTTATTTTAAAAATAAAAATTATAACCGCCTTAAAGTTAAGCAATTAGATATTGAACAAAACACGATGATTACTGATCCGGATAGCAAACAACTATTAACTGGAAGGAATTATAATCTACCGTACGTTGGTACACATTGTAGAAAAAAGAAACACAAATTCAAAAATCTAAACCAAACATTAAAATCTAGACAGAAATCTACTAAAAGAAAAGTAAAATCATTTTATTAAAGTCATGTTGGATTTTCTTTTCATTTTTCTGTATTTTTTCCTGTTATCATGAATATATTCAGTATATTGTGCTGTACTTTTATTTCAATGACTTACTACTGGTCGATATTCACGATCATTGAACTAACTTACAACCGTGTTTAACTATGTTAAATTTGAAAGTGTATTGTTACTTTTTTAAAACAAAAGCTGCAACTAATAATGATTATCAGCATGGGGTTGTAGAAATTACTAAGTTTTTGAATGAGATCATGGATCGATTGACGTTAGACCACCAATAAAGACCTGGATGCACTGGACTGGCGTTTCGTCCTGTTACAGGACTTCACAACAGTGCGCATCTACGACCCCACTTGCGGGATTCGAACCCAGGACCTTCGGTCTCACGCGTGAACGCTCAACCTCTAGACCACTGAGCTAGCATCCAGTAGTGCTAATGTCTAACCTCAACCAATCCACGAAATTGCGCGACCATCTTCCATTGTACAGAGGTAGATGCCTGTCTCTACCTGACATGGACTGGCTCCACTGGTCACAGCTTCTCACTAGAACTCCGAAAATTCCCTCAAGACCTTAATGATGACTAATTTAATCACCTTTACAGTAATGATATTGTTTGATGTAGTATAGTGAAAGGCACGTAAATGTTAGTTATAAAGTCAACAAAGTAATAGCAGTAGTATTAAAAATATTGATAATAATAACGTTAACTTGATATTTTAGTCAAATAATTTGTTACGAATCTATTCATTTTTGACATAGTTTTTATCCTACACCCACATTATTTGAAGGATTATTGACAACTAAGGAGTATTTAACAAATCCTTCACTCATGCTTCATAAGAGGTTGTGTATAAAATAATCAGTGAGCGCTGCTGATCATCTACTAAGTTGAACAAAAAAATATTTAAAATTGAACGATTCTTGAAAGTTCTACAATTGATAGTGTGGTGTGTGCTACTAATGTCAATAAATATAAGTTGTATGCCTGGCGACAGGTTAAGAAGTTCAAAGAGAAGAGAACGAGAACAAAGAGTGGTTGGTGCGAAAACGAAGGAACAATCAAGTCTGAGACAATTGATTGACACTTTGCAAATGAAGCATTTACTGTATGGTTCTCAGATTTCATTAAGGGTTTCTGTAGTGCTGTACTGAAGTATATTTGATTGTCTGCATGGTGTTCTCTTTCACCATAATAATATCACTTTCATGAAATCTAGCTCAAAGTCCATACTTTGTTGACGTGACTGATCAAGAATGGATAGTTGATACTTTACCTTTTATAATAGATAAACTGTGACCAGTAGAGGAATTCGAGACGTTCATTACGTCCCGTGTAAATTTTTTCAATTGAACTTATTTTCGTCCCAGTGTTGCTATTTATACTGCAACCTAAACCTGATACCTTTCGCCTTGATCCACTGGGCTACTAAGCTCAGAGACCAACTAGTCTATAATTTTAACTTAACTGTTATGAATATCAACAAAGGAATAATCCAATTCATAGAATGATAATAATTTTCTTCGTAACCATAAGGTACTTAGAAACTTTTATATGAATTGTACTTATCATAATTTATATTAAAAAAAACAATCTGAACAAATAATATTTGCTACAATTGATTATCTTTGGGTTACTTAACATTTATGAATATTCAATCTAATCTAAATTAAATTTACAGCTCTGAATCACCTTTAATTGTAATTATTTTATTACCTACATGTTAATTAGATGCCGTGTATTTTTAAAAATAAAATAACATAAAACAATTTACAATGATCAACTCTTAAAGGCATTTTGTTGCTTTAATGTGAGCGGTTTAATTATGTAGCTTTCATTACTTTCATAGACAACATCATCGGCAAATAATTCAGGAAGAATTATGTACCAATAATGTAGGCTAGAAAAACAATAAAACCTTGAGGACTTAATAATCCACTACTGAAAAAAACACTTTCATGATTTACAGCTGTGTTTTTCAAAAATAAAATGAAATAGAAGAACACATATTTGATTGTGTGTATATAATCTCCGACCATCTGATCTGTGATCTCGTAGACAATGGCAACTATAATCTGAGGTTATTATTTCAGGTTGTCTTTTGATGATTTTTTATCATTTAACTACTTTAACTTTGATCAGGTTGTTAATGGTCATTATCAGTTAGGTTAGGACTAGGGATCTGTGCAAGTAATAAAGTCGAAAAACAAACAGAAAGACAATCAGTAGCCATATATAATTGATAAATTGATATAAGTCAGATCATCAAACCAATATAAATAGACGTAGCTGGCTAATTGTGTTGTACTTTTCACTTAATCTTAAGATCCGGATTTCGACCAATACATGTGAAACTGATTACATAACAATGTTCTATCTTCGACTGGGAAAAAGCGCTATTTCGATGTAGGTTTGTTCTCTGAGCTAGATAGTTTGGTTATGAAGCTTTCATCGTCCTTCTGAA